GGAGTGCAATGGCGTGATCGCGGCTCACTGCCACCTCTGCCTCCCAGGTTCAAGCAATTCTCCTGCCTCAGCCTCCTGAGTAGCTGGGACTACAGGTGCATGCCACCACACCTGGCTCATTTTATATTTTTAGTAGAAACAGGGTTTCACTGTGTTGGCCAGGCTGGTCTTGAACGCCTGACCTCAGGTGATTTGCCCACCTCAGCCTCCCAAAGTGCTGGGATTACAGTCATGGGCCACCGTGCCTGGCCCCAATTTTTTCAGACTTCCTTGTATTTATGCCCTTGGGCAGGCACCTCTTGTTTTCACTCTGGGCTTGGACACATGACATGATTTGGCAAACAGACAACCAAATCTGATGGCAAACCGAGACTCAAAAATCATTTGCACTGTGTTTAGAGATAGCAGAAGAAAAAGAAAACTTTGCATACTGGGGATTTCCCTCTTTGCTACTTTTCAGAATTCTGAGACCATCATCTGAAGAAGCCTGGGTTAGCCCCCTGGAGGACAAGAAAAAACTTGCAGCAGAAACCTGCAAACCTTAAAACATGTGAGTGAAATCATCCTACACTATCTAGACCATGGGAGTTGCCAGCTGACCACAGGTACAGCAAAGCAAGCACAAGCCAGAAAAAAATGCCAGCAGATCCCCAGAATTGTGAGCAAATGAAATTGTTGCATTAAGCCATTATGCTTTGAAGTGGTTTGTAACAGAGCAAAAGCTAACTGATACACTAATCCATTTTTAATAAATCAATAGACTCAGATCCCTGCATTGCAAAGTTCCCCACCAATCTTTCAATCAGCTCATCCACTGATTGTTGCCTATATCAATGTTTAATTTCATGCAAATCAATGATTTTTTTTTTCCTTTTTTTTTGTTTTGAGACAGGGTTTTGCTCTGTCACTCAGGCTGGAGGGCAGTGGCACAATCATGGCTCACTGAAACCACGATCTTCCGGGTTCAAGCAAACCTACCACCTCAGCCTCCCAAGCAGCTGAGACTACAGGCATGTACCACTCTGCCTGGTTTTGTTATTTTTAATTTTTTTTTTTTTTTTGTAGATATGGGGTCTAGCTATGTTGCTCAGGCTAGTCTGGAACTTCTCAGCTTAAGCCATCCTCCCACCTTGGCCTCCCAAAGTGCTGGGATTATAGGTATGGGCCACCATGCCTGGACTAATGATGATTCTCTAATTCTATCATATCTTGCACATTAATAAGCAGGAATTCTTCTGCAAAGCACTTTCTCTCATCTACTAGGGTTATCTAGTAACTCTCAAATATAGTCTGTACATGATAGATGCCCAATTCTTTCTTTTTAAATACAAATATTCAAATGAGTAATTCTGCCCTAGTTACATCCTATGTAGTCCAATGAGGGTTTTGTTTTGGTCTTTTATTTTTTCTCTTCTATCAATATGAATTCACTTTTAAATACATTCAGTATGGTTGTAGTCAATTGTAAAATTTTTTTTCCTGCTCAAATTGCCCTTTTTTGTTTTTTTTTTTTTTGCTAATAAGAGTACTTTCATGGTGGCTTCTGTATCCTCTTGACATTATCCATTAGTCTCTACTTTCTGGCACAACAAAATGTCCCAGGCTCATCTTGTCTATTTCTTGTCACACTTTTGGAATTGGCCATTCCTCTAAAGAGTCTTGGTTCCAATTAATGGAAAAGGTATTTAGAGATCACAATCTGGGTACTTTATATGCTCACTGATATTTGGATGTCACTGTTTCTAGATCTTTTCATGGACTTAAGAAATAATATTCTTAAAAAAGAGAAAGAGGGCCAGGTGTGGTGGTTCATGCCTATAAACCCAACGCTTTGGGAGGCTGAGGTGGGCAGATTGCTTGAGCCCAGGAGTTTGAGACAAGCCTTTACTCCAGCCTGGGTGACCCTGTCTCAAAAACAACAACAAAAAGTAAGATGATGTATTTCCTAACCCTTCTCTGAGGTTAGTAAAGTAAAAGTAAAGGCTGGGTGCGGTGGCTCATGCCTGTAATCCCAGCACTTTGGGAGGCCAAGGTGGGCAGATTGCTTGAGCTCAGGAGTTTGAGACCATCCTGGACAACAAGGTGAAACCCCTTCCCTACAAAAAAATACAAAAATTAGCCAGGCATGGTTTTATGCACCTGTAGTCCCAGCTACTTGGGAAGCTGAGGTGGGAGGATGACTTGAGTCCAGGGGATGGAGAGGTTGCAGTGAGCCAAGATTGAGCCATTGCACTATAGCCTGGGGGACAGCTAGACCCTACTACAAAAAAAAATTTTTTTAATTAAAAGAAAAAGTAAAATCACTTGTTTTACAGGGCCCACCTCAGGTTCCATGACCTCAATGAAACCTGTCCATAAGTACTTTCTCTTTTCTGACCTCTTAAATTGTTTACTGTCTATATTGCTCACTTAGTTCTTTGCATCAATCAATCAATTAAAAAATTAATGCACTACAATCTGAAGAGCACCAGAGTGGATGCTGTGGGGATGCAATGTATTACACATTAAATTTTCATGTGCAGTCACTTCCTCGATTAAGCTATATACTGAAGCCAAAGCTTCCTCATTTCCTCCATGGTGGCCAGTACTACTGACTGATAAAAACAAAATTCCTTTACCCCAAATACTGAAAAGAATGTAAATAAAAACTGAAACAAATTGATACAAATCCTTTTAATAAAGTATATCAGTGACAACTTCCTGTTTAAATAAATATATTGTTAAAAAATCATGCAAGAGCATTTTGTTATAATTATGAGGAAAGGTTTGAGACTACTGTTCCCTCTGCAGAAACGCTATGCACAGATGCAAAATGGTCAAAGGCTGATACAATAATGAATCTCAAGTAAGTAGCGGAGCCATCACGTGCCTGTATGGGAAAAAAATCAATATAAATGCTTTTAGCAGTGCTAGTTAACTGTTAACAAGCAGTTAGCAGAAGAAACGGCTTGATGCAAGAGTAATATTCTAAATACATAACAATATATAAGGCCAGCTACATATAATAGTTGTGGTACGTATCAGCTAAATACAAGCCTTGGTTTGATGAAAAATAGCAACTGGAGCTAAAAACTGCAACTCTCATTTTTGTAGGGACAGGGTCTCGCTGTGTTGCCCAGGCTGGTCTTGAACTAGCCTCAAAACTAGCCTCCCAAAGTGCTGGGATTACAGGTGTGAGCTACCATGCCCAGTTTCTAATTTTTTAAGTGTCGGCCAGGCGCGGTGGCTTACGCCTGTAATCCCAGCACTTTGGGAGTCTGAGGCGGACAGATCACCTGAGGTTGGGAGTTCGAGACCAGCCTGACCAACAAGGAAAAACCCTGTCTCTACTAAAAACACAAAATTAGCTAGGTGTGGTGGCACATGCCTGTAATCCCAGCTACTCAGGAGGCTAAGGCAGGAGAATTGGTTGAACCCGGGAGGTGGAGACTGCAGTGAGCAGAGATTGCACCATTGCACTCCAGCATGGGCAACAAGAGCAAAACTCCATCTCAAAAAAAAGAAAAAAAGTGTCTTTCTGAAGTATTTTTCATAATAAAGAAGTTTCCTTTGGTTAGTGTTGCCTCAGAATATAGTACCCTGAAGCATGACTACATTTTTATATTTACATAATTTCTCTGGAAAGCAATTAGCCAATATATTTTAAAAGCTCTAAGTATGCTTATAACCTTGCACCCAGTAATTCTATTCCTTGAAATTTAATCTTAGAAAGTAAGAAAAAAGGTGGAGGTCACAGTAGCAGGAATATGCATAGATGTCCCCTGTGTATACAGAGGGGACAAACTGTGTAATGACAGAGGAAAGAAAAGGAAAATTAGTTTAAATGTATGCCAATTGGCAAACATTATTTTAAAATTGTACTTATGAAGCCTGTGATATAATACTAAGTTTAAAAAAAGACACAAAATTGTCCACACATTATTATTCTAACTGTACAGCAAATGGTCAACAACTAGAAGAAAATAAATACAGTAAAAGTTTTTGTGACAGGGTAATAAAATTATGGATGATTTCCAGCCTCCCATTCCCCCCTGCTATTTTTCAAATTTTCTATAATGCTGTGACCCTCCACAGTGGAGTCCTGAAACAATATACGAAAGGTAGCAGGGACTTACTAATCATAACCCACTAGGTAAAGACAGAAAAAAACAGGAAGATAAAATTCAGTAACATTAATTATTTTTCAGGACCTCACTGGCCTCCCCAGTACTCGGGTAAATTTTGGTGGGAGAGAAAGGAACAAACAGGATTCAAAAACTTCCTACAGAATTTTTTGAAACACTGATTTAATAGTAGCTTCCGGCAAGTTGTGAAGAAGTAAACTTAATGCATAAGGTACGATTTTAACCCTCACTTAGGGAAACTTTAAGTAAACAAAGCATGACCACCTAATAGATACTCAGTTGTTTTACTTTTCTGTGTTAGTCTAAAACCGGGGCCTGACCAACTACCAGGAACAGAGGAACTCCTGATGAGGCAGCAGCTTCCTCATCAACAGGCATTCATTTCACTTGACAAGCAAAGCCCAATGGAATGTTGTCGAAAAATACTGGTTCTCTTTCCACCTCACCTCTCTTTGGCTTATTTGTTGCTGATCCTATGCTCTAGTTCCCCTTATCTGAATCTCCCTTGTCCTTTCATGCTTAAATTAACATTCAATTTTGGCATCTCGACCTTTTTTGATTCCTATTCTAAAATGCCTACAGAATCAAACGAAAAAAAGCAAACCAAATAAATACTTCAAAGTAAATGAATGAGAAAAATAAAACAAAAAAAAAATGAATTGTTTTATCTTGCCGTCACTCTCTATAAAAGGGCCTAATTTATGAATGTACATTTAGCTTATATTATCATTGAGAATAACTTTCTCTACTGGTTGATTTAGATACAGAACCTATAATATCATGAGGATATTTATTATATATGACTATGGAGATAGGTTTAAAGTCTAAATACATTGTGCACATTAATTTTTAATTCTATAAAGTATACTCACTTACCATAATTTCTTCATTTTGAAGCTGCCCCTCTGTGTGTACCAAATCTAAAACACAAATGTAACAGAAGAAATGAGTTAAGGGTCAAAATACATGAGAATAGCTACTGAAATTTATGTTCAGCAAAATATGGTATCTGGTAAATTATAAGACCAGGTTTGAAGGACTCATCGTTTGCATGTTGAAATTTGATTTAAAAATAGAGGTATATGATATATAAGGCAAAAAAGATAATCTATGAGCTATAAAATATCCTAGTGAGTATAAGCAAAAGGAAATGTAAATGTCAATTATATTAATAGTAAAAGAATATAAGGAACTGATAAAATGTGAAAACTTCTTTTTAAAACATTTATTTTAAAAAATCCCCTTTTCAAGGAAAAAAAAAGTGAACATTTGAGGATCCAGCTACTAACAGAAAGGAGCCATTTTGCCATACCCAAAGGTAACAACTAGAGCTAAGTTTCTCAGTGAGACTTTCACTATGATGCATAATTGTGTGGCCCACGAAGTAATCTTTTCTGGTATCCAAGTTTTAAAAATGTTTCCTTATCTAATTTTAGAGCAGATTAATTTATTTGATCATGAGTTAATCATATCAAACATTCTTTTGGAAACATGAAAGATTTAATTGCTATAATGATAGCTAATGACAGTATTCAAAATTAACTTCATATAAAATAATGTATACAATGTAAAAGCCCCATAGTATTAAAAGAAGTGTTTCTGTTTCCTAACCCTTTTCTGAAATAATGAAAATCAGTAATCTGCTTTACCCCTTTCTCCTTTAGTCCTGCTTCCTAAAAGTAAACATTCTCAACTATTTAAGCTGTTTTTCCTGAAATTATATGCTTTTATTCCTTTTTGATAATTTTTTTACTGACTTTATAGTATAGTAGGTGAAATTTTAGCTTTTTAAAGCCGAAATCCCTCTTTTTCTTCCTTCAACGTCTCCCTCTTTCCCTCCTCTCAAATTTGAAATCCTACTTGATGGTTACGTTACTTTGTCTATCTAAAGGTTATTTACTCCTGAAATAAGTAATGAATTATAATGATATTTTCTTTCTTGTACAACTCTATCACCAGAAATTAATAATAAACTTTTTCATTTGCATAGTTTTTTTATTTATGAAAAATTGAAAAACATCAGCTGGGCACGGTGGTTCACGCCTGTAATCTCAGCACTTTGGGAGGCCGAGGTGGGCAGATCACGAGGTCAGGAGATCGAGACCATCCTGGCTAACACGGTGAAACCCCATCTCTACTAAAAAAAATACAAAAAATTAGCCAGGCGTGGTGGTGGGCACCTGTAGTCCCAGTTACTCGGGAGGCTGAGGCAGGAGAGTGTCGTGAACCTGGGAGGTGGAGCTTGCAGTGAGCCAAGATCGTGCCACTGCACTCCAGCCTGGGCAACAGAGAGAGACTCCATCTCAAAAAAAAAAAAAAAAAAAGAAAAGAAAAAGAAAAGAAAAATATCAAACATACTTAGGAGAGAACATAACAAAACTCCCGCATATACCCATAAGCTAGATTTTATAATTACTAACATTTCATCATAGTGGATTTATCAATTTTTTTTTTCACTAAAGTATTTTAGGTCAGGTGTGGTGGCTCACTCCTGTAATACCAGCACAATGAGAGGCTGAGGTGGGTGGATCATTTGAGGTCAGGAGTTTTTGAGACCAGCCTGGCCAACATGGTGAAAACTCTTTCTCTACCAAAAATACAAAAATTAGCCAGACATCATGGTGCATGCCTGTAATTCCAGCTACTCAGGAGGCTGAGGCTTGAACCTGGGAGGCAGAAGTTGCAGTGAGCCAAGATTGTGCCACTGCACTCCGGCCTCAAAAAAAAAAAAAACAAAAATTAAAGCAAGTGCTTTAATTATTTGACATTTTACCTCTAAATACTTTTTTGTTCTTTTGAGACAGGCTCTCGCTCTGTCACCTAGATTTAAGTGTAATGGCACGATCTCAGCTCACTGCAACCTTCACCTCCCAGGCTTAAGTGATCCTCCTTCCTCAGCCTCCCAAGTAGCTGGGACTACAGGTGTATGCCACCACACCTAGCAAATATGTATATATATTTTTTGTAGAAACAAGATTTCTCCATGTTGCCCAGGATAGTTTCTTGAATTCCTGAGATCAAGCGATCCACCCACCTCAGCCTCCCAAAATGCTAGGGTTATGGGCGTGAGCCTAGCTTCCCCTAAATACTTAATTATCCATTTCTAAATAGTAATTCTTCATATAACCATAATACCACCATCATAACAACATTAAAAATAGTGTTTTAATATAATATGAAACCCAATTCCTATTCAAATTTTCCCAATTGTCCCTGTCTTTTCATAATTGGTTTATTAAAATCAGAGTTAAGTATCTTTTAACCTTGAACTGCTTTCTCTCCCCCACACACATTTTTTAATGCCTCTGACTTACTGAAGACACCAGGTCAGTTGTCCCGTACAGTGTCCCACATTCTAGATTTTTTTTTTTTTAGAGATGGGGTCTTGCTCTGTCACCAAGGCTGAAGTGCAGTGGCATGATCACAGTTTATTGCAGTCTCAACCTGCTGGGCTCAAGTGATCCTTCCATCTCAGCCTCCCAAGTAGCTACAATTACAGGCACATGTCACCATCCCTAGCTAATTTTTAAATTTTTTTGTAGAAACAACATCTTGCCATGTTTCCCAGGCCAGTCTTGAACTCCTGGGCTCACGCAATCCTCCTCCCTCAGCCTCCCAAAGTATTGGGATTACAGGCGTGAGCCACTGTGCCCATGCCCCACATTCTAGATTTTATCATCTTGCCTATTCGTAGTTTCACTTAATTTGTTCCTCTATCCTCTATATTTCTTATAGATTGGAAATTAGAGCTAAAAGCTTGGTTATATTCATGGTCTGAGGTCTTCATCAATGTCTTGTGATCTTTGTCTTTTGTTACTTCTGGATTATTTGAAAACTGTGCATCATTTGAAAACTGTGTGCATGAGCTACACTTGTTGATTACTGGACCATAGGGTGACCAGAAATGAGCTGGCCTTTATCAGTATCCATAGGTCTTTTTTCTAGGGCCATTTAGTTTCTCCAAAGATGAATTTTCCAGTCTTCCAGCTGAGGGTATATTCTTGGCTGCTGACATTAATACCAGAACACAGGAAGGAGGCTGGTGTTTCCGCAATTCAATATGTAGACTTCCACTAGTATCCAATTTTCAACTCCATGTCTCACTCACTCCCTACTATGTATCTGGTCTCCTGAGCCTCAACATTCTATATTTGCAGTTGTCTCTTGAGGGTGGTGGTGGAGGTCTGTGGGAGAAAGGAGTGGTCACCTAGCTTTGCAGGATGGAAGAAGGTACCTAGAGTCTGATTACTCTGTATATAGATGTTCAACTAATCATCCTTATTTTCTGACCCAGGTCTCATTCATACTTCCCATGGCACCTGTTGCCTTTGAGCTCTAGGCCTTTCTGGGGTTCTGTGTGACAAAGTGGCTTGCTTCTTATTGATATGCTCCTTGGCAAGACCTTAGGTTATAACCTAGTTCATTCAGCTAAAGAAGTTACTACTCTTCCATCTGCTTTCTCTTTATCATAATATACACTGATTTCTCACATTTGCTTTCGTTTGCTGGTTGTTTAATCTTTGTCCTTGTAGGTTTATGCCTGTTTTTATTCCTTTACTATTATTTTCATGATATTTTGAGAGGGAAAAGAGATAGACATATGAAGACAAGATGCCATGTTTAATTAAGTAGAGGCTATCAATTCTGCTGGTGATATTTAAATAGTACCATTAATCGGGAGGAAAGGAAAGAAGATGAGAAACTAATATTTGTTGTCTATTATATGCCAGACACTACTTCACCAAAACCTTAAATGATAGATATCATCGCCATTTTCCTAATAAGGATTTTGAAACTGAGAAAAATTAAGTCACATGTTAATAGTTATATAACCAGTAAATGAAGCAGCAGCTTTGTGTTCAAACCTGGGTCTTTCTAGGTCCTAAATGTGTCACAAGGATCACTGAAGTCATCTTTTTTCACCAAAGTGCAGCTAGATGAGAAATGTAGAGTCAAAGGAATATTATCTACTCCTTCATGCTCAGAACAATGCTGGTGAAACACATACCTTTTTCAATCCATTGCTCAAAATCAACTGGCTCTTTAGACGTGCTCTTTTCAATCTTCAAGGTCTGTACTGACATTGTCAACAAACAAAGTAAGTAAAGTGTTAATCTGTCTCTACGTTTTTGACCCTATATTTCTTTTTCCCTCTGCCTGAGATTGTCATGCACAGTGGAACTACACAAACACTGGGATCAGAAACATCATGGAAGTTACTCGGTATTTTTCCAAAAAACCCTATGCTAAAATATAGTCTTGTATAACCAATCTTCCAAATGTTTGCAACCATACAACACAGAGCAAGTAGAGCTTTTTTGAATTTGGCATTATTCCAATTTTTTTGTGTGTACTGGCAATAATAATACTATTGGTGGTCTTGGTCATAAACATTTATGGAGAGCCTATGATGAGTCAAACATATTTATCCATTCACTTTTGACTACAATCTTACGAGAAAGGTATTTTAACCCACTTTACTGGTGAGAAAACAGGTTTAGAGGAGCCAAGCAAGGTGTTCAATGATATACAGCTAGTAAGTACGAGAAATGGAATTCAAACCCAGAGCCTCCACAATTAATGAGAAAAGAGACTTATCAGGAATACAGTCATCTTCCTTCTAAACTGGTTTTTCTCCACTGTTCTCAGTCCAGTCTCTACCACTCCAGATCCATTCCTCCTCTTCTTTGTCCTGTTCTGTGCCATGAGGGGCTAACCTCTGTGGGCTGTATCACATGGATTCATTTACCACTGCCTTCTGACTGCATTTGTCCAGTGGGAGATACCAGGGGGAGATTGGGGTGGGGAAGGGAGATCAGCCAATTTTATCTCCACTCCCTTCCTGCTTCAGTGTGACATTTTTGACAGTTTCTCCTGCCTACAGCTCCTGTTAGGCCCTTTTACACAGGCTCCAGCTCTCACAGATCTCTGATAACACTATTTCCTTCCCTTGTGCCAGGGCTGATCACAGCTTCCTGCTACAGCTAGTTTCTGAGGGCCTCATCATTCCTTGCCTTGTTTCTTCCCTTAACCCAGGCCATAATTTTGCAAGTAGCCCCATCAATAGAGCCTCTTCATTTGAACCATCTGGGATGTATTCTGTTTCCTGCCATGATTTTGTCTGATACATTTTATCCTTAAATAAATAGGATTAGAATGATGTCCCAAGGGAGATTATCCCTCTAAATTCCTAAGAAAATGCCACTAGTAATAGAAGAATCACAATTATCCAATGTAAATAATCAGGGTTATGAGATTTTCAACAAGAATTTGACAAAGAACTCCAGGACAAATGAATCTAGAATAAAGATGTCATGGAACTTAGTGTTCTGGCAAGCTGGCGTCTTATATTCCTAATAGGGCCTTCTGCCAGACTTTTACATAGTAAATTGCATGGAAATTATTATGTGCTTTGGAAGGGTTTCAAATTTGCAGTTTCAGAGACGCCAGTTGAGCTCAAGGCAGTTAACCCATAATCCCCATCCTTTCACCCCAGCAATAAAACTGGATTCCATGCTATAAAGAAAAACTAGTGTTTTGCCAGAAGTTTACATACATGCCTTCTGCCTATGGAAAAAATGAAAGGATAATGAAAATCCACACATGAGCCTTACCTGGAGCACCGAAAAAAAAAGAAGAAAAAATTAATGTAAGATTTACTTACCAAAGTAACTTTGGATTACAAGCCTTTCAATCCTTACATGTTTGTGGAAACAAATAATGAATTCCTGGGGAAACATTCCTGTGGTGGTCCAAAACGTTTCTGGATTCCTATTGTTAATTTTAAAGAAAAAATAAGAATAGCCAAATATAAATGGTTAATCATAAAATTTTACTGAATACCTGTTTTTTTAAAATTAAATGACTACTGGATTCTTCCATCTCCTTTCTATTACTTCTGCCTCTAATCTCTCTCCAACTTTAATAATTCTTCTTTACTACTACCAGGTATTCTTTTCTAAAACACAGAAACGGAATTGATGTCACTCCTATCTAAATGCCTCAGTGGTCCCTTATTGCCTATAATTCTAAACTCCTTCATATGGCATTTAAGACTGTACAGTCTGGTTCCATCATTAAGTTATATTCTCTTCCATCACTGTGGTCACACTGGGCCACTTAAAATTCTGCAAATACGTTATGCAGGCTCTTGCTTCTGCACCTTAGCTCATTCATGAGATTTTGTTTTTTGTGTTTTTTTTTTACCCGAAAAACCCTTCTTCCCCTTGCATAAGTTAATTCACTTTCTGGTCCCATTTATCTAACACCACCAAATCAGAATCACTTCCTCCCTCTTTTGTACTTATCTCATACTCAGCCTCCATCTCTATATTGGCACTTAATCTCCTGTGTTTCTATGGCTCCCACTAGATGCTGAGCTCTGAGTCCAGCTTCTTTCTCTTACTCATCTTTATAACCCTACAACTGCTGCAATGCTCACCCATAGTAGATATATGCTAAATGTTTGTTCAAACAAAATTAAAACATGCACTGAATTTTAAGTCATATATAGTCAAAATAGTATATATGGTTTTGACTACAGAAATAATCATTTCTATTTTAACTATATATCCTTTTTACTTTTTTGGGAAGTAAAATTTACCTACAGTGAAATTTACCTTAAGTGCATAACTTACTGAGTTTTGATAAATGTATATGCTTATGTAACCAATACTCCAATGAAGATACAGAACATTTCCATGACCCAGAATTTCCCTTAGCTTTCCTTCCAGACAATCCCTACCTCCCTTAGGCAACCACTGCTCTGATTTCTATCACCACCAACTATGCCACAACGTTTTCATTCGTGATTTTGTTTGATATTTTTGTTGGACATTTTAATTGCTTGCAGCTTTTTACTATTAGGAACAAAACTGCTATAAGTATTCTTGTACAAGTGCTTGTGAACATGTTTTCATTTCTCTGGGTAATTACTAAGAGTGGAATTGCTAGGACATAGGGTAAAAGTATATTTAACTTTATAAGAAACTGTCAGCTTGCCAACGTGGTTGTACTATTTTGCACTCCATTTTCTTTCTTGTCATGTCATGTCTTTGTCAGGCTTTGCTATCTGGATAATGTTCTCATAAAACAATTTGGGAAATGTTTCCTTCTCTATTTTTGAGAAAGTTTGTGGAAGACTGGTATTTCTTCTCTAAATATTTGATCGAATTTAATTTCTATAATAGATATGAGGCTGTTCAGAATTTCCAATTGATCTTGTGTCATTTTTATAAGTTGAGCTTTACAAGAAATCTGTCCATTTCATCTAAGTTATCAAATGTATTAGCTTAAATTTGTTGTTTATAACTTTTATTAATCCTTTCAAATGATCAACTTTAGGCTTTATTATTTTTTCTAATAATTGTCTATTTTACTGATTTCTGCTCTTACCTTTACTATTTATTTTCTTCTACTTAGTTTGGGTTTAATTTGCTCATTTTTTTTCTAGCTTCCTAAGGTGAAAATTTAGATGATTGGTTTTACAATTTTTTCCTTTTTAACATAAGTATATATGCTATTACTTTCCCTTGAGACACTGCTTTAGCTGCATGCTACAAATTTGGTATGTTATATTTTCAACATCATTCTGTTAGAAGTATTTTCTAAGGCCAGGCATGGTGGCTCACTCCTGTAATCCCAGCACTCTGGGAGGCTAAGGAGGGTGGATCACCTGAGGTCAGCAGTTCAAGACCAGCCCGGCCAATATGGGGAAACCCCGACTCTACTAAAAACACAAAAATTAGCCAGGTGTCTGGGACACACCGGTAGTCCCAGCTACTTGGGAGGCTGAGGCCTGGAGGTGGAAGTTGCCATGAGCCGAGACTGCACCACTGCACTCCAGCCTGGATGGTGGAGACTCCATCTCAAAAAAAATAATAATAATAAAATAAAATAAAATTCTAAGATCCCTTATGATTTCTTTTTTGACCCATGGGTTATTTAGAAGTGTAGTGGTTACTAAGTTTTGGGGGGGTTTTCTGAATATCTTTTTGTTGTTTATTTCTAATTTAATTACACTGTGGTCAGGGAACATACTCTCTAAGATTTTAATCTTGAAATATATTGAGACTTATTTTATGTTTCAGCACGTTTCAGTGAATGTTCAACATGTTGGGTTTTAGGTTTTTTAAGAGACTGAGTCTCGCTCTGTCACCCAGACTGCCACCCAAGATAGCCCGGGCACTATCTTGGCTCACTGCAGCACTGACCTCCTGGGCTCAAGCCATCCTCCTGCCTCAGCTCCAAAAGGAACAGTGACTACAGGTATGCACCACCATGCCTGGCTAATTTTTGTGTTTTCTTGTAGAGACGGGGTTTTTTAATGTTGTCCAGGCTGGTCTCAAACTTCTGAGCTCAGGCAATCTGCCTGCCTTGGCCTCCCAAAGTGCTGGGATTACAGGCGTGAGTCACCACACGCAACTCATCAATATGTTCTTGTTCCATGTTGTTGATTATAGTATTCTATAACCATCAACAAAGTCGAGGTTATGATATTATTCAGATCATCTATGTCTTTATTGATTTTCTGCCAAATTGTTCTATCATTACTGAGAAAAGGGTACTAAAATCTCTAACTATAATTGTGAATTTATCTAGTTCTCCCTTTTATCTGTCAGATTTTGCTCTATGTATTTTAAATAACTATTATTAGGTCCATATACACTTAGGATTATCCTCTCCTCCTAATGAATGGACCCTCTAACATTATAAAATGTCCCCTTTGTCTCTGGTAATACTCCTTGTCTTATATTCTACTTTGTCTGATATGAATATAGCTACAGTGACTTTCTTATGTAAACTGTTTGTAGGATGCATCTTCTTTCATCCTTTTATTTTCAACCTATTCGTATCTTCATATTTAAAGTGAGTATCTTTTAGACAATATATATTTGGGTCTTGGCTTTTTATCCAATCTGACAATCTCTGATATTTAATTGGAGTGTTTAGCCCCATTGACATTTAGTGTAACTAGTGATATGGCTGAGTATAAATCTACTATCTTGCTATTCATTTTCATCCCTCCCATCTATTCTTGTTCTGTTTCTCCCTTCCTGTTTCTGAGTGAATAAATTTTTTACATTCCATTTAATTCATCTATCTTTTTTAGCTATACCTCTTTTATTAGAAATTTTTACAATAGCTCCTCTCTAGGTTACAACATAAAATCCTCATGATAGTCAATTTACACTGAACATCACTTTTGTGCCATTGTTGTCATATATTTTATATATATAATATACCCCATAATACAATTTTTTTCATTAAGTGGTCAGTTATCTTTTTTTTTTTTTTTTTTTTTTTTTGAGACAGAGTCTCACTCTGTCGCCCAGGCTGGAGTGCAGTGGCCGGATCTCGGCTCACTGTAAGCTCCGCCTCCCGGGTTCACGCCATTCTCCTGCCTCAGCCTCCGGAGTAGCTTGGACTACAGGCGCCCGCCACCGCCCTGGCTAATTTTTTGTGTTTTTAGTAGAGACGGGGTTTCACCGTGCTCTCGATCTCCTGACCTTGTGATCCACCAGCCTCGGCCTCCCAAAGTGCTGGGATTACAGGCGTGAGCCACCGTGCCCGGCTAAGTGGTCAGTTATCTTTCAAAAAAATTAAAAGAGGAAAAAAAGGCAGTCTTTTATAGTTACCTGAATATTTACCATTTCCAGTACACTTAATTTCTTCTTATAGGTTTGATTTTCCACCTAGTATTATACTCTTCAAACTGCAGAATTTCTTTTAGCATTCCTTGTGATGCATGTCTACTTGTGATGAAAAATGCCTTTATCCTATCTTCATTTTTGGAAGATAGTTTAGCTAGACACAGAATTCTGGGTTGACAGGGTTTTTAAATATTTGCTTGTTTCTCCCTTTCCCAGTATTTTAAAGATATTGCTCCATTGTTGTCTGGTTTCCACTGTTTGTGATGTAAAGTCAGCTGTCATTAGTGCTATTGTTCCTCTGTATATAATAGTTTTTATTTCCTTTTAGCTATTTAAAATATTTTTTTCCTTTTTCTTTTTCAGCAGTTTGACTAAGATACAACCTCTGTATTTATCTAGCTTGGGACTTGCTGAGTTTTTTGGATCCATAATTTGTTATTTTAAAATAAAATTGGGGCCGGGCGCGGTGGCTCAAGCCTGTAATCCCAGCACTTAGGGAGGCCGAGACGGGTGGATCACGAGGTCAGGAGATCGAGACCATCCTGGCTAACACGGTGAAACCCCGTCTCTACTAAAAATACAAAAAACTAGCCGGGCGCGGTGGCGGGCGCCTGTAGTCCCAGCTACTCCGGAGGCTGAGGCAGGAGAATGGCGGGAACCCGGGAGGCGGAGCTTGCAGTGAGCTGAGATCCGGCCACTGCACTCCAGCCCGGGCTACAGAGCAAGACTCCGTCTCAAAAAAAATAAATAAATAAAATAAAATAAAATAAAATAAAATAAAATAAAATTGGGGAAAATTCAGCTCAAAAGTAGAAACAACCCAGGTGTCCATAAACTGATGAATGCATAAATAAAATGTGCTATATCCATACAATGAAATCTTGACAATAAAGAAGAATGAAGTACTGATATGTGCTACAACATGGATTAACCCTGAAAACACGTAAGTGAAAGAAACCAGGCCAGGTGTGGTGGCTCATGCCTGTAATCCAAGCACTTTGGGAGGCCAAGGCAGGTAGGCTGCTTGAGGTCAGGAGTTCAAGACCAGCATAGCCAACATGGTAAAACCCTGTTTCTACTAAAAATAAAGAAATGAGCCAGGTGTAGTGGTGCACACCT